TGCCATGATTGGACCAAGAAGAACGTCTGAAGAACGTCACATTGGGACCCACGGATTAGAATGGAGTGATCAGGGTGAACTACTCTCTGAGTTTATCATTACGACCAAGAGCATTCATGGTAATCGCAATTCCATAACCCAACTCTCAACGCTGGTCGCGGGAATTTCCCTTTGAGGGTGCCATAAACGAAGTGAACCTCGTCATAGTAAATCGAAAGTCCTGCCTAACCGATGTCTACAAGGACCAGACCATCGTTTCATTCCTGCAAGATTTGATTTATCGCTTAACGGAGAAAAGTCGCAGAATCGAAAAAGCAAAGTCATAAAACCGCCATAAACTCGAATTTATTCTGGTCATTTTCAGGTTCTTGGGAATTGTCGTTATTAATTATTCCTTAAATATGTAGTCACTTTTTATTTGCTGCCTATTGTCCCTTTTCATTGCAGGGTATGATGTCAAATACAACCGCATTGGTGCTGGAATATTTGTAAAATACTGTACTGCAAGTGTCTGAATTGGGAATCGAACACGCTATTACCTTTCGCAGGAGCTAACGCGTTCACCACCACGCCATAGGTTCTTGGCTCAGCCTTTCTCTCAGCCGTTTTTTAGGTGTTATAAGCAATTACTCGTCAACGGGACTGATCTGGGGAGCAAAATCGGAATGAACCCGGTTGAGCCGAAGCTTTAGGATCGTTTACTTAGTTGGTGGCTTCATTGAGAAGCCTGAATGCGGCCCATGCTGCTCTCCTTCTTCTGTTCAATTCCACGTTCATGTTGTTTCCTATGTTCATTTAACGGGGTACACGTATAAGGTAGTCTATGTAGTCACGGAACCATCCAGTTTGATTTGTTCGTCATCGCCTCATGAGTTTTTCATGACCTGAGTCTTCGTACGCTTTTTTCCTAGTCCGTTCATTTTTCTTCCGTTTCATTGAGCTCATTGATCATCGTCTCTGCTTCGCTGGTACTTCTTGAGATGACGATGACGTCGGCTAAACGAAGGTTTGATAGAAATTTTCGGTTCATACCTACGTCTTTCTCATCCAAATTGAGTGTTTTCATTGTCCACTGCGATGCGATACTAAACAGATTTCGCGATATTGTGTTGTCTTCTCGAACTCCTCATCCTATGGGTATGGTGGGAGTTTGGCGGAAAAAGTGTATTTTCTTAGTGCAGTTCCGATAACAATCGGACAGAGTTCTTATGTAGGACTAGACCATTCCTAGTCCACGCGCACTGATAGGATTGCATTCGTTTCGACGCTCTAGAGTACACTCCACAAGCGTATCGAATGACAGTTGCGAAAAGTTCTTCAGTCACAGTTCCTGGGTTCTGTAGTGGCTCATAGCTCAAGAATATGAAAGGCGTTCGCGGGAGTGAATAAGAGTGAAGAATTGTTTGTAAAGTGCCTGTGAGCAATGGAAGTATTTAACTTAAGTTAACAACACAAGGTTACATGAGAATCGACGATAACATTAATGTATTAGCAATACAGGAGCTAAGGATTACAGTTAATATCATTACAGCCTAAGCAAATGGATTTGCAAAGAAAGATTAAGCGGGAGGGAAATGATGATGGAGTGGCAATGCCGATCTCCAAGGCGTCGTCAGAAGCCACATGACGGTGCTAGTGGGCGTGGCTACGTCCAAGCGAGTGCCGCTGGTCGTAGGATCAAGGCTCGGGTCACGGGTCTATAGCATGCCTAGTGGTGTGATTGGTGGCTACAAGTTGCTGTGTCTAGTTGCGTGCCCGATGGCTAGAATGGAATGTGGATGTAGGGCAAGCACGCGGGCGTTGTGGCAAATGCAGTGTCTATCGACTTATAAAATGTGTTTGTTAGGTAGATAGAGAATTTTCCATCTGATAGAGGAATTCTCTACACGTTCTGTTGAAGGCAGGATGCCATATGTCTTGCGAACACTAGATGTAAATTGTGGCTTTAAGATGTAAGAAAGTGGGCGGTGATATAATGGTGTCCTAGAGCTGTCTTTTTTCATGCTATCTATCGCAACTCAAGCCTCACAAGGAAGAATTCCAAGTACTTTTTCTCCAGCGGGGATTTTAGGATCCGCAACGAGGATTGTGAAGCGAAAAATGTTGATATGGAACTTTGCCGTTGTATATTCCATATAATGATTGGAAATTTAGTGATCCCATCTTCTATAATGCTGAGATATTTGCAAAACTCCGGACCGCAGGTGTCTGCGGTGGGAAACGAACGCGCTATTGTCCTTTCCAGTGAGTAACACGTTCACCACCACACCATGCGGGTCCTTCGTTTCGCCTGTCTCTCAGCTAGCAAGGATGTTTTTAAACCAAGAGATCAAAGAATTGAGAAATTTTTAGGGCTCTTTCATAATTATTATTATCCGGTGTGTCTTTACTTGCTAAAAACATTTCTCAAAATCGTTCCACTGTTTCCTATCAAAGAAGGGGAATCAGTTTCAAGTATAGGAGCTCCATCGGCACCTAGTAAATGAAGAACAAACATTCCAAATGAAATCGTTCTTATCGTATTTCCTTTTTTCTCTGTTCTTGTCCAAACATTCTTCTTTTTGGGTAACGATAGCAGTGAAGTCGAAGTGAACTAATAGTTTAGAACGCAGTCTTTTCTTCTGTAAGCTCGTAACTTACTTAAGGTTCCGGTTTGAAAGCATCGCAGCGCATTCTGTTTGGTTGGGTGAATAACAGCAAGAATAGTTTACGTCGTCGAAGAATCCTTATTGCAATGCACCAAATCTCCTCGCGATCCCTAACGACAGTCGCCGACTTTGGTTGTGGTTAAAACACAGGCCAGTGAAAACCATCATTCGTAATCCCTCAACCTGCCAGTGTGTCAAGAAAACGTTAGATCCTCAAGCTAAATCCACCTACAAATCCAACAACTTCCATGCATGACACTGGAAAGATAACGATTTGAACGGGAAACATGTCGGAAAGCGCCGAAACTGGGCTGTTTCGACTTTTTTCACTTTGTCTTTTTTCCACTTATTCATTTACCTTATATTTGCCAACCTCTACATTTCTTATATAACACTAAAAGTCCGACGTGAGTAGATTTGCATTCATGAGTGGTGAAGACGGAGAAGATCTACTGACGTGATTTGACGCTAACTAAATTTCTGTGGTTGTTTACTCTGCCGTATGGATGCAGTAGCTGCACTTTTCGTACTCGTCGATAGCTTATCCAGCCAAACCACCAGTCCTCGAAACCTGTTCTCCACACTAACGTGGTAAATCATTGGGGGATTGGTATAGATATAAATACAGCATTAACATAAACACATGCATTTAGTTTTATCGACTGAGATTGTGAAAGCGTTTGACTGAGTGAACTGCGTGTCAGTTCGACCTTTCCAGGCTCTGAATAAGACGAAACCACTGAAATGTCAGCCCAGCATTGTACTGAATAAGGCTTGCTATTAACAACGTCATGTTTGCACATCAAGAAAACTGTGGATTATATGTTTAACTTCATTGATGTTTAATGAAGTTGAATACATTCCGTATCCCCAAGGATTGATCAACGCCGAGAGATTTATCTTTTTTAAACTTGGTAATATTCCATGCAAGGAACGGGTAGCATTCTAGTAGTGAGATCGTTCGGTGCATGGCCCTAGTTCGAGGTTACTCCAAGCCAGCCAGACTTCTCATCCCAAAGAAGTGGAATCGGTGCCAAAGTTGAGATTGCTAAGATCCCTTCCATGCACCAGACCTACGAATGTCCCAAGTGCAAAGTTATCCCAAGAACGACTTCCCGACAGTAAAAGTCGACGCGACCAGCATCCAGCGAAATTCATAGGGAGATTAACTTCGAAGATCTTCATGAATGATGGATGAGAGGAAACGAATGAAGTGGAGAAAGCGCTACGATCCTTACAGTACAGGATGCAAAAAATCCATGTAATACATGAAAACCGTTTTGAAAAAAATCAGTAAAAATGTTCATTCTTAGCAGATTGGTATTCTATCAGCAAAAATTAACCTGCAGTGAGATCCTAAGCATTTTCTAGTTCTAATCTCCTTGCCATCTTATCTTATGGTTTATTTTATAGTTAGAAATTAGGGTTGCTGAGGTGACTATTTTGTATTAAGAGGTTCTAAATTCCAAAACAAAGCAGGCTTTCTTTTCCTACATCTAGCCTTGAGACCTGTAGATGGCAATCTGAATTGGCTGTAAAATCCAGGACTAACCGCTATCCAGTTGCTTCCACGGCGATTTCATGTACATTTTGTTAGCACTACAAAATTGGACATGTGTTATTCTAATAGAAGTTCATCACAAACGTAGATCGCTAAATTTTCGATGAAGAAACGCCATGATGGGTTTGTAAATGTCCTTTGTGAATTTAGACGATTTTCATAGAAACACATGTTCCTATTAGCAATGTTTTATACCTAATCCGGAACCCAGTGAAGATCAAACCTATGCAGACTGGTTTCACACCAAAGATGGTAAAAAAGGGCTAAATGCATCATATCGAACGTATGTAGATTTCCACTGGGAAACTAGACTGCCAGTTAGTTTGATTTTTACGATCGTACCCAAAATCACAGTTGTTACTTTCAGGTGGAATAAAGATTCTTTCGGTGTTTTGTGGCAACTACCTTTCTTTGGTCTTGATATACAAAATTCTGTATTCGCGGATGAAGGTGAACCCTCGAAGGAACAACGTTGTTTGGTGGAGGAATAAATCCCGATAAGGAAAATAGGAAGAACGCAAAAGAGGAATAGGTGATATATCCCTACTTTAAAAGAACACTAATTTTAAAGGACATGCGTTTTTTTGCACACAGCCGTTTCGCACCACCAGAAATCAAAAACCCAAATGCCTTTATTCTTGTTCTTATGAATTTGCAAATTCCAATGTACATGATGGCAACATTGGTACTGCTGTGGCGTCTATAAAAGTCTCAATCTCGTTCTTCAACACCTGAAAACAACGATTTTATCTGTTGTCGCCACAAGTTCGTCGATAAACAGCCGTCCACTCTCAGTCCAATATCATCACCTGCAGATGCGCATCATTTTCAAGGAGACTCGGTCTCACGCGGTCCAGCATATTTGAATTCTTAACGTAGCTAACATGTTCCGGATATACAAGTAGTAGCAAGCGCATTGCATTCAATGACCGTTCGGTTAGTCGAGGATCTGACGTTGACAGAAGATTCGGAAGAACAAGGAACACACCTGAAATCACATGGCAGTGATCACCGGCACAACGGAAGTTAGCCATCATAAACAACATGCTACGTTCACACAGAATGGTGGATAGAGGTAGATTACGCGAACAGGGTTCCTCATGACGGATGCAATTACATCTCGAATGAAAAGCTACACGATGAAGCGCTCCGCGTTTATCAATCTTTGACCAAGGCCCCATCCCTTCGACTTCATCGAAAAACGTAGAGGTGGTTAAATTTATATTTAGCCTGTACAATTACTTACTATGGGCTTGTCAATGAATATAGTCAGCGTTTTTACTCTTCCATATAAGTTCTATACCAAATTGACGGTTTATGACGGCTTAATCGGAATCGAACCTACTAATATGTGTTTATTGCTTAGGAACCCTGATCGCTTGCTAAACTCGTCTTACCTTTCGTATACATGTAATAATTCTCTTGTGTAAGTGGAGAAATGTGCCAGGGGCCATGTCAAAGTTATAGTGCACAATTAATCGTCTGTGAAGATAAAAAGTCACAAATCTATTTCGGAAGTGATTGGAAATCCACCGTTCGGTATCTCTTCATTGAGAACTGCGACCCTACAGCGAGCAGGACCCATCGAGAAGCTACTGTGCACAATGGAAACAAATGGAGACTCGCAGCACGCAAGTGATGCTCAATGTTTGCACCAAAAAATTCATTTGATTTAAGAGATAACCCAGTAGGTAGGCAGACTATGTGGAAACGAAACCCAGACTCAAAGCCGCACGCGCTTCTTCCTCAGTTTTCTTTTCCTAAATTCATTCTTTACCATTTTAAGAAATTTCGATGACAAATTGATTTCGTACCAGATCCTATCATCAGTCCAATCCTATCACGGTTTGCACCAGTAAACAAATTAGCAATCGCCCACATACATTCCTGAAATAATTTCAGGGTAAGGAAGAGCCGTTAGAAAGGGTGTATTTGTTATGCTACGATGTTCTTGAGATTCAATAACTTGAGAGACTAATTGAATAGATGAATAATCGCTCTTCATAGAAAATGGTGTGGGCTGCTGCGCAAGTTCCATTTCATTCGTTACAGTTTGAGCAAGGTTTCTACCAGACTGCACAAGGCGGCTCCCAGACCGTTACTTCACGCAGTCTACAGCCCTTGTAGATCTGGGGGAGCTTGAATCAGTAGAAGTTGCCAACTAACCTTCTTGAATTTTTTTTCTGACGATTCTACACCTTCGAGGAGCATTGCGTACACATTTTCATCCACGAACAGCAACTAGATGATTACTAGTTTAAACTTGAAACCAAATTCTCGTCCATTATCTGACAAATTCCGCAAGAAAAACGTATTTGAAAAAGTACAGAACATCTGCCCTTTATGGACGTTTTTAATGAACGAATGCTCTGAAGAAACCTCCCAACGGTTTACCGCCTCGTCGTGGCTGGAAGGTGTTCCTGGGTGCCGGGCTGCGTTATACAGGCTCTGGCAGGGTCTCCCAAGCTGGGGAGTCCGGCGTTTCCAACAGGAAGCCTACCTAAGAGTAAACCAATACCAGGATCCACCACCGTCCTGGTATCAAAGTCGCATAGTGGCAAATCTCCTCTTGATTCACAAGAGCTGCGTCTGCCTGTGGTGGAGAAGGCCTAGGTGGAGCAGACTTTGGCCAGGCTGACTTCGGGATTCCAGGGAACCACACTTAACTAGCAAATCTCCGAAATATGGAGATTATGTTGGAGCCCGCACAATCAGTGAGCATGAGCCATTCAAGTGTTGAAGTTCAGAAGAAAAATGAGGAATCAATTATTTTACAACTAATTGGAAATGGCTGCAACTACGTAAAATGTCTGCGACTTAAGACTTTGAGAGAAAAAAAGACTAGGAAAGCGCAGTTTTCTAGAAAGATAGTATACAGGTAGAAAATACGCCCACATCGGCAAGTTCGGGCCGGCTGGCTGCAATATTCGAACACATCCAAGCAGCTTCGCGTCGAACATCGAAGGGAGATTTGTGCAACAGCGAGCGACACTGGAAGAAAATTCTCGAATGACCTGACAATAATTACTTTTTTTAAAAAATCAATCCGAAAATTAGTGCAAGAAACTACATCCGCTAAAACTGACAACTTTAATGAGAAGCAGGCTCTACTGAATACGTCATGAGATACTTTTCCTAATCAAGTTTTTGTCCTCTGTGGTTTTCATCACGAATGTTCAATGTTCATAGGCATGGAACTACCGTATACTGAAACTGGTTTACCCCCCGGTGAAATCAACCATGCTAAGAAGTTATTAGAAGCTTCCTTCTCAACCAAATTTTTGCTGCGGAGAGTTTGGTGCCGTACGGGAAGGAATCTGTTGACAAGTCAGGAAATTGTAGTTCCAGCCGCAATGATATTTGCGGTCATCATATTAGAAAGTATTAGCACGGCTACCACTTCGGGAATTGAGCAGAGACATTTTCTCGATTAGTAGAAAAAAGCTCCACTACTGTGGAAATCGAACACGCCCAGTCTACGTAGAAATCGTCAAACAGTGAGGTAACCATTGAAGTTGAAAGAACTTCAACGCTAACAGTCAGGACAACACGTAAATAACAATTTAAAGAAATTTTTTTCTTTTTTTGGGTATTAATCACTGACGACTTCCTCCGTTTTCCTATGCAATCGAGGACTTGAAACTATGTTTGAGTATGTACCAAAGCCTACCAAAATGGCAAGAAATCGTGGATGCGAAACGATCACCGATGTCTGGATATCGTTACCGGTGATGATGTTGCCCAGTATACGAAGCGCACCGTGATGGAGGTCACTGAGGGGCTGAAATCAGAGTTGGAAAAAGTGGTGATGATCCGTCGATAACTTCGCAGTACGGAAAAAATCATGCAGAGATATGAGTTCATGTTATTTTTAGTAGGAGGCCATCTACGAACTACCTGACACCTTGTGCACCATGAACATCGTCTTGACAATGCTTGGGATATCAGCTAATATCAACATAGCAGCACGCATTCACTGCTATCACATAGAAACGACACACTACTCATATTCGATGTTCGATGTGAACACATACCAAGTTGTTAGCATGTGAATAAACTGTCATCATCCTTACCGAATCCAGAATCTCAAACACCAAATCCACCAAACCCGGCTCACCGAGCACGATATCGATCTGAATGGACACTATGCTAAAGAGATCTCAGGAATAAAGCGAAGATAAAAAAGAGAAGAAATGATACTTTTTGGAGACTGCTGTGAGCATTGTTTGACAAACAGAAGAAAAACAGTGGTGTGCACCTGTATTCCCGTGTGCATATCATCCGCAACTGATGCCAACGTCCAGAGGCAATCCTTAGCCAGATCTGTGCACATGATGTAGTGCTTTGCCAGCTCAGTCAACGATGTCGTCAACTGCTTTATCGTCTGTGTGTGAGAGTTCATTTTATTACACACGACTGCCATATTCTACTGCCTGTCCTCCCTTTAGCGAACCGTCAACTAGAACCAGTTCTCACCGAAATCGGTACACCTCCATTATGAACACCTCCACGCAGGATGTTCATCGCACACCACACAATATTTTTCACCTCGCTGTGTTCGGTATGAGTTTGTTGGGCTAATAACCTCGCTATGATCTGAAAGTCCTAAAAATATTCCAGTGTTACAGTTACGGTCGCCAAACTCAGATTACGTTTGACAATTTATTGACTTAGACACCTTTTAATCACCACCTCAATTACAGTTTTTTTCACACATGTTATTGACATTCCGTTATCTATGTGGTGATTAGGCCACAAAATCTTACGGTAAGGAGACCAGCTTCGCGACATTTCCTCTTGCACTCAGCACAGTCGGCAGCAATGTTGCCTAACGCCCAGATGCATTGAATACGGAACTCGCCTGTACCCGATACAACGCCGTTTTTTAAGGCTTTAATACCGTTCTGAAATTATCCAGTGATAACAGTAAGTCGAAAGGGTGTCTTATAACTAAGTTCTGCCTTAGTGACATGTATTAATTTCATGTTCGTGCTTCATCGCATGCCATTTACACATCAACAAAGTGATTGATGGTTTTTTAAATAATCCCTACTCGTTTGATGGAAGGTAAATTTCTGCAAACTATTTTATTTAACTCACACTGCTCAGTAGAGTTAAATAAAATCTGCCTGAACTCGGCTGTTATTGATTGGTTCAACTCCACCTGATCGACAATTATGTGGTTCATTCTCTCTGATATACACGCCATGTTCGTGAGAGTCCATGCCGCGTTCACACGTGTCTCTTGTGAATGAGTAGCGCTTTCAACAACACGGAGAAGAAGGGAAACCTGAAAGAAGCTTGGCTCCACTTCGCCGATTGTTACTATGGTAATTATCGATCTGTGCCTGCAATGTACGCACACTTGCATCTGAGTCTCAGTAAATGACTTGATCATGCAACTAAGGAGGATGAGGTGCGATGTCATCGGACCGGCGGATACGAGACGACGCGACCCATTTAACACTGTCCATGACACCGAAGAACTGCTGAGAACGTGCGGCGGTAGAGGAGTCGTCGACATGGCGTTCTCGTCAACACGAGGTTGACTTTCAACATCGGTTTATTCGAACAACTAACAACCCGAATTGGACGTTGACAATTGAAAAGATGTGGATCAATATCGGCTTTGACAATCTTCGTCGTTTATGCGCTAACATCAAACTGTGTCGACGAAGAAGTCGAAGCGTTCTATACAGACTTTGAGAATTTCTACAGCGAAGGCCGTACATTCTTCAAAGTCATTACTAGAGATTTTAAGCAATGATTTGACCAAGAAAAACGCCTGAACAACGTCACATTGGGACCCACGGATTAGAATGGAATGAGCACGGTAAGCGGCTATCGAAGTTCATTATTATGACCAAGACCATTCATGGTAACACGCAATTCCGAAGCCTCACCCTTACGCTGGACTTGGGAGTCTTCCAATAGAGGGTGCCATAAACGAAATAAACCACATCGTAGTAAATCGAAGGTTTTGTCTAACCGATTTCGCTGTTATCGCAATATTCCGCACACGGTTAAACTATCATTTCCTTCATGCAAAATTTCATTTCTTGCAGAGAGAGCCGCAAAATTGAAAAATCGAAGTCCCATAACCGCCCTAAACTGGGGTTTATAAAGCTCATTAGGCTGTGACTGTGGGGAAGATGTCCTTCTCGATAACATCGACGAAGAATAGGATCGGCTCATTCAACATCTTCATGTTAGCGTTATGAAAGCTGAAAGTTCAAAAGTCACCAATAGACGTCTGTTTCCAGAAACACTCGAGCTGATACGCCAGCGTGGAATCGCACGAGCTGCAGGCAGCCGCTAACTAACCTCCCAACTTGCAAAACAGTGCAGACAGGTGACGAAAGAAGACCTCAACGAGAGAGGAGTAGCAGTTATGGTCGAAACTGCAAAAGCTGAGAAAAGCATTTGCAAAGCCCACTGAAGTTTCGCCAATTACAAAACCAAAATTATTGCACGCCTACGCGCAGATGGGACAGTTACAGCTTCCTGAAAGGTAATGGAGAAAATCATTCACGACTAATACTCATATCTCTTCAATGGTCATTTCTCCTTCCCTCATATGAAGCAAAGGGGGGTGGATATGTCGTACCACCAGTTCTCCCTTCTGAAATCCTACATGCTACTTCGCCGATAAAGAATGGAACGGCACTAGGTTGGTACTGGATAAGACCTGAACACCTGAAGAACCTTCCGCCAGTCCTCGTAAACAGACTGGCTCGGCTCTTCACACGTTACCTGTCTTAGGCAAGGTACCTACTCAGTGGAAGACCAGCAAGACCGCGTGTTATTGTTCAAGAAGGGTGACCTCCACGATATCGACGGCCTTCACAAAATCTGCTTGCTGTCGGTCCTCTACATGCATTTTGCTCGAGTCATCCTTAAAAGGATTGACAGAACACTGTTAGTACAAGGACAGCCATGTGAGTAAGCAGGATTTCGGAAAGGATGCGATATGATGGACCACTTCCACACGATTACAAAACTCACCAAAGTATCGCGAGAGCGCAAAAGACCGCTCTGTCTCACTTCCATCGATTTAAAGAAGGGCCTTGACCCAATTGAAATAGAACCAGTCATGGAAGCCCTTGAGAGTGAGTGAGTCGCTACTGATGGTTCGTGAGCTGTACGAAAATTTCGCAACCAAGATATCATCATTCTACAACGATATTAACATTGACGTCAAAAGAGGAGTTCGGCAATGCGATACCATTTCGCCAAAATTATTTACCTCCACCCTTCAAAACGTCATGCGAACATTGGAATGGGATAATATGGAAGTGAAAATCGATGGTCAGCAGTTACACCATATTCGCTTTGCTGATGACATCGCTCTCATAACACCAAACATTAGTCAAGCGGAACGTATGCTTGCCGACTTTGATAAAGCCTGTGGAAAGATTGGCCTTCGACTAAATCTCACAAAAACGATGTTCATCAAGAACGGATTGGTTTTGCATGCCCCATTCACGCTCAACGGAACGTATATCTCTGAATGCTCCAGTTATATCTATCTAGGTCGGGAAATCAATATGATGAACGACCTAGCTCCAGAGCTGAGGAGAAGAAAACGAGCGGTTTGGGGAGCTTTCAAAAGCATCGAGGATTTAGTGAAGAGAACAAGGAACACCCAACTCCGTGCCCACCTTTTCGACTCAACGGTACTTCCTGCCCTAACGTATGCGTCAGAAACCCGGTCGTTGCGTAAGAAGGATGAAAGGTCACTCAGCGTTATCGAACGCGCCGTCGAAAGGACGATGTTAGGAGTATCCCGTTCCACGCAATTAAGCGATGGGATCCGAAGCTTCGATCTGCGTCAACGATTAAAAATCAACGATGCCGTTCTGTACGCCAAACAGTCGAAGATAAGATGGGCCGGACACGTAATGGATAGATTCCTCGGGATGGCAAACGTGCTTCAGAAAGACCACCGACCCATTGGTTAGAATTCTTCACTAAAAGCTTAGGAGAAAGGTATGATGCCCGACGAGTCCCTAGAGCGACCAGAACCCACTGGGCTACTCTTGCACGCGACAGGTAAGAATGGAAATTTTACTGGCGCCGGCTCGAGTCACTCGACGACTAACGGGATTACAAGTGATAGAGGTGACAGGTGTATACTTCGGTTATGCCATGCGATACCATGTGGGCTCATTACCAGGAAAGCCACTCTCAAGTTGAGCAGCTCAACGTTTCCATCTGGCAAGCCAGTGAAGAGCAAATGTATGCAAAGCGGAGACTGCAATCCGTATGTTGTTGCTTTAATGCGGAGAATGGTAAAAATAAATAGTCTCGCAGAAAAGAGATTATGATATTCCTGTTCCCAGAGCGGTCGCAGCCGAATAGGGATCCCTGGTGCCATTCAACTACCATTGGAGAATTTGTTTGGTGCCAGGTCGAATATGCCGAGGCTCAACGAGATTACAGGAGATACAGGTAACCTATTGCTTTTATTGTTATCAGTCCACTATAACCCATGAATGATGGATCCTCACTCGATTATCCAGTGGGATACAGAACCTCCAAGGACGCAGAGTGCGGTGAAAGGCAGGCCAAAAGCAATCTTTCAACTGCTCTGAGATGGAATTAGCCTCCATGGAAAAACTCAATTTTTTTACCATAGAACCACTTTCTTTCCTTCTACGATCACCTGATTAAATTCGCGAATAAATGCTGGGAAGGCTTGCGTGTACGACTATACTACGTTCATTGCATAGAAGATTCCAGACAAGTGACGAAGAAGTTCACGGCAACTAACTTAGTATCGCCTCCAACAAATAACTCTACGCCTAGTTTTAAAAACTTCAACAAGTTTTCTTTGGGGATAAATTGTCTGTTAATTCCCCGAATGCGACCCTATTAGGTGTAGAGAGAATGGATAGGCGACTAAAACGTCCTGCCATTCTAGGTTGTCAAAATCTAGGTCATTGAAGTCCTTTATTGAAGTTGTGGTGACATTGAATGGAAAATTCATATAGGATCTTAACGATGATTGGAGTAGAGGAATCGTTAGCGAGTGGGTACCACTCATTAACACAGTGTGAGAGTATGTTTCTTCTACATACCTTCCTACCTTTTTTTTGTTTTTCCCATGAAAGAGCAAAATTTGCTATGCAATTCTGACTGATCGGTCTATCGATTAACAGTCGGGATTCATCCACAAAGGCCGTAATTTCTACCATACGCATATTGACAGTTGCTGTACTGATTGGAAATGTCAATTTTAACGCGGGTGGCCATGCTTACATGGAACTCTCGATGTGCATCGCAGCTCTGTGTCCAGAACAACTCCGTCCTTTGAGATCCAATGGTACGGCAGTAAAAAAGAAAGGATGTCTTTTATGGGAAGTACGAAAGTTTTATAAACAACTCTACGCAGTTCTTACCCTCTAGGAATGAACAACTCAACAAAATTCGCACTATACTGCAAAGTCCCCATTCATTGTGATGGAAAAGGTGCCAGCGAATGAGAGAAACATGAAATCTCTTTGTTCCCTTTAACAACTGAAAACAGTGCAACGCAATAAAGCTCTCTCTCTCTCTTAAAACTCTCGACGTTGATCAATCTCTGAGGGATGCGCCATGCATTCGACTTCATTATGCTTCATTTGGAGGTGACTGGATGCACATCTGGCCTTTACAATGACTCGCGGTTGCTGACTGATGTATCGAGCCAGTGCTGCTATCCCTCCGGACAAGCTTTGTGCCAATTTGCCGACTCCGGAGTCATGGAAGGCTTGGTGGTGGGCGCGGCGACCGATGCCACGTGTGTTGCACGGTGGCTCCGACCGCTGCGCCACACACATCCTAGTGCAACGCAATAAAGAGCGAAAACAGCCAACAAGGTTCCATTTTACGAAGACAGATGAGTATGGTAGTGGCAAACTCGTCCACCAAAGCTAAAGAGAATCATTTGCTCATTGACTAACCCCGAAAGTCAGTACAACACGTGGATAACAGTGAGACCCGTTCATTCATGGCACATGAATACGGCGATGCACTTCCTTATCGTTCTAGATCAAGGTTAGTTTCGAAACATTAATAGCTTGAGTCTTCGACAGTAATGTTACACTTGTCTGCTACGACTTAGTGCGGCTACCTGTCAATTTAGAAAGCCAGTTGGTTTATGAATGGGTGACACATACGCAGTCTACTTGCCTGGAGTATTTACAAAGAAGAATGTAATAAAGTGGGCGCTGCCGACTTAAATCTGCGATACCTCTAAGGCATTAAACCAACACCTTTATAATGGTTACGAATCTCACCAGACGTGTGTATTTTTCTGGATCAACTGCGTCCCGTGGCAAACGAGAGGTGAATATGCGTCGGAAGTACAGAGCACTGGCTGCCTGTAAATTACCATCTCGTCACCTATATCCTGACAGTTTAATGGAAACTTTTTATGCGCTTTAAGTTTTTAAAGAGAATAGAGATAGAATAGAGAGATACAAGGAAGATGTACGCAGCACTCACTTTCGCATCTGATGTGCTATCTTCTTCCAGTAATTGGAGAAGAATTTGTTGTTCTCCATTTAGCGTTGGTTCATTAGATGAAGTATTGTACGGTGAGGTCTGTGAAAGACCAACAGCTATTCTCTATATGCGTCATCTTCGGTTTATAGCACACCATTGGGTTTCAAAGTGGGTCAAACTCACATTCATACTCAGAGCTTGCAGTAACGGTCGACCTGAGGTGACTGCAGAAAGATATCTGAAACAGACCATCATTAAAAATCAAGCTCAAGCGCGATAGCAGTATTTAAGTGATAGCTGATAGTCGTGATTAGTGCTGTAAATATCACCCAACCTAAGGAATATGAGTGCGGCCCTGAAATGTTCCTGATAGTCTAACAGATTGGTATGATACAATGGATAGAATCAGACAAAGACGTAAAGGATAAAGCATACGACATTGATTAAATTTTTAAGGAAACGCCATGTATTCGATTCCACTCGCAGGATTATCGGTGTGGTTGAATGCAAATGTGGCCTGTACAAGAAGTGGCGGCGACCTACCGATCTACCACGACATTGTTTTTCTAATGTTTCCTGACAAGCCTGGCAGGAATTTACCGACTCCATAAAGATAATGGTGTATTGATAGCCGAAAATGTGGAATCCAAGCATCGCCCATGGGAACATTGTAGGCCACGTCCAACCAACACTGCACTGCCCTACACGCACCCTAGATTCTGACACAGGGAATGTTAGGACCGCACAAGCCTAGAGCATTATCTAGGTTTGGGAAGAGGATTTTTATCACTGCTCACGTTTTTAATAAAGGAACTGCTTGAAATTATTTCTGATATGTTATCAGTTAACATGGAGCAAAACTACTCTAACAGTTGAACTGGACAAGATTGACGGTGACAGTTGTTTATGTAAGAAAGTGGTAGAAGAGGCGACCTATAAAGTTGACAAATGCAAAACTCGATGAGCCCACTCATTTGAGAATAATATTCTCCTCAGCACACAACTATAAGTTTATAATTAAGTTTATAGTTTATAATGTTTAACGTTTTGTTTTCTGCCTTCTATAATTTTCATGGCAGGTTACTAAGCGAAATACAACCACAACGTTGCTGAGATATTTGCAAAACTCTGGACCGCAGGTGTATATGGTGGGGAACGAACGCGCTATTATCCTTTCCGGGGA